TTTTTAAACAAACACTATGTCTTTTTATTTTCTTCCACATGTTCATCCACGTAATGCCTTGCATTTGAACAGTAGCCTCTTGTTTTGCGTGTTTGCCTTCTTACATGTTCAGCTCTCCTCTTGTTTGTCATCAATAATGGCTGTAATTGATGGTCTTAAGCGTCACACCGGCTTTAAGAGTTGTTTACAGTCAACACACAACCTGTACTCAGCAAGAGGAGTAATCCACGTTTAGAATCTCTCAGGTGTGCTGGTGTGGACTTGCCCTAATGTTATAGTGGCATCAGCTGCTATAGTCAGCCAGCTGAAGCATGTCATAATGACTCTTTGTCCTCATGTCTGTGGTTTGCAAATCCATGCTGCTTTTAGCTGACAGGCCAGTCCGCAATGATGCTTTACAAACAATGCATTATGGGGTTGTTGCTGGTAAAAAAACGTGCATAGGGTTTGATACAGAATGTGTGTGTGTGTTTTTAGGAAGCTGATAATGAGTTTCGGTGTTTTCAAAGATTATATAAATAAGATGTACATTACCTGGCAAAAGTCTTTAGGAACAACAAATATTAACTTGACTTCTAGTTGATCATTTGGCATCAAAAGTGGCTTAAATGGAAGGCAAAGACCTCTAGATGACATTTATTTTGCCTAAATAAAATATGATCATGCTTTGATTTTTAAATATTTCATTAGGACAGTAAGGTCTGACTTTGCTTAGACAAAAGTATTGTCACTTAACAGAAATAATGTACAGTATAGAATATAAAGTCATGCTGCTGTGGAAGAAGAATGAATATTGTGTTTGACTCCCATGAGCGTGGAGGACTGCATCCATACATCTCTGCAATGACTCAAATCACATATTAATAAAGTCATCTGGAATGGCAAAGAAAGTGTTCTTGCAGGACTCCCAGAGATCATTATGATTCTTTGGATTCATCTTTAATGCCCTTTCCTTCATCTTACTCCAGACATGCTCAATAATGTTCATATCTGGTGACTTGGCTGGCCAATCCTGAAACACTTTTATTAGTTATTAGTTTTATTAGAGCCTCAAGTTACTATTTGTTGCTCTTACAACTGGGATCAATGACAAGACTTTTGTCAGATAGTGTATGCATGTATACGAGAAAGTGTACTACCATCCTAAAGGTTGGGAGTTTTATTTTATTTTATTTTTTTTAAATCTAGGTTGCACTTTATTTTAAGGCTTAATTTTTGCTTTTAACAAAACATTAACTAAGACCTTTTGCACAATAAAGCACTCATTTGCTGATTGTTAATAGTTAGTAAGGTAGAAGTTGGGTTTGATTGGGTAGGATTAGGGATGTAGAATAAGGCTATGCAGAATATGTACTTCAGAAGTACTAATAATTAGCCAATTGCTTAATAATAAGCATGCTAATATAAGCAAGTTAGTAGTGAGAACTGGTCCCTATGCCAAAGTGCTACCCAAATCAAAAGTTTTATTCAGCAAGGATGGATTAAATTGACTGGAAAGTGGTTTATAATGGTATAGAAGTTACAAGATCTAAGATGTTACAATATTTGGAAAGCTTTCTATGTATACAATTATACAATCAAAATATTTTTATTTTGAATTATTAATTACTTATTTTAAGTATGGATTTTGAACCGACAACAAATATATATATTCATTTAAATATGTGATGGTAGCAAAATTAAATATGCATAAGTATACACTAAATTTGTTCGTACAGTGGATTAAAAGATTCAACATAAGTCTGGGAAAGTATTGAAATTCGGGTTTGCATGAATCTGGTTACAGACTACAGGCTGACATTGAGTCTCAGGGTGAACCAACAAAGGATTGATAGCTGTGTAAATATTGTCATACTAACAGTTCATGTTTTTGGTTGATTGTACTCCAGTTCATACTTTAAAGTTATCTAACATTATAAACATAAGTTGTTCTGATGCTTTTTAACCGAGTACTCATAATATTTTATTTTCATTTTCGAAGTTAAATCGTATAAATGTGGTAATGTGAGAAATGTTGAAGTTGACGTTGAAGTCTTTTGGGTTTGATTATATGAATATAGTTTCTTGAAAATAGGCTCATTTTACAAGTCACCTAGAGTTAAACAGTTGAGTTTTACCATTTTTTAATTCATTCAGCCCATCTTTGGACAGGACTTTTACCTTAGCTTAGCATAGATCATTGAATCATATTAGACCATTAGCATCCCGCTCAAAAATGACCAAAGATTTTCAATAATTTTTTAAATTATATATTTATATAGATTTAAATAGATATGATATCATGCAGTGCCTACAAATACCCTCTGCAGGTAACAGTGCTGCATAATATAATTGCACCTGCTGGTGTCATGGTATGGCAACAAAGTTCCTTGGTTATTAATTCAAAATAAAGCATAAATCCTAGTCATATTGACCTAGAATATAGCAGCTTTTCATTTTCAGTCTATCTTAGGATGGAAAATGAAAAGCTGCTATTTTCTATTGAAAAGTGAAGCTTTAAATGGGAAAATAATCAAACTCTTAAAAAGCAAGATGCTAACGTTCTGATGCTAAGCTAAGCTAAAAGGGCTCCTGCCATGTCCTGAGATTATCTAAAGCAGTGGTTCTCAAACTGTGGTACAAAATAACTGTGGAAAGAAATATTTCATGTACATGCTACACACATTTCAAAATTTACCAAAAATGATGTATATAATACGCCATAAATGACATATAGCCTATATTTCAGAGATAATCTGCCCCGTTTCTTTTAACTGTGCAGAGTTGTAGCTGCTTTACTGGGTCTACTACGTGACTGTATTTCAATACTGCTCATTTTGGTGGTACTTGGAGAGACAATTTATTTCTGAGGTGGTACTTGATGAAAAAAGTTTAAAGAACCACTGATCGAAAGGATTTAATAAGAGATTAAAAACTCAATTGTATAACTCAAGGTGACTTGTAAACCTTTATGATTTCCAAAAAAACGTGAATAACTAAATATACAAATTGTTATACATGTTTTGTATTCTTTATTTTTTAAACGACTATTATTTTGTGTCTGAACAATTCTTCAAAATTGATTTATCTAGTAATGAAGTCTTCATAAGCATTATTAAATCACCAGTTTTATATATAAAAAGTTTATTTATGGATGAAATTCTAGAACCGCCCTGGATCCTCCAATCCTTTATGAGCTTCTTCGTTTTCTTGAACACAAGAAGGTTTTTTTGTGTGTGATTGTTAATATATTACAGAAGCAATGCCAGGGTTTGCATGAAAGGAAAATACATAAGAAATTAAATAAATAACAATAGACAGGAAAAGAAAAAAAAAACTCTGGGGTGAGCAGTGACCTTTATACACCTCTAATATCATATTATTTATCTTTCAGTACACTTTAGTTTATCTAGATATTATATGAGACATTTTCTCAATAAAATCAGACCATACTTTGATTCTTTGGGGTTTAGCTCTGTTAATTCTTGCTGTAGAATGTTCTAACAACACAATATTTTTTAGTTCAACAAGCCACATTTTAGGGCATCACGGTGAGGCAGTGGGTAGCACAATCGCCTCACAGCAAGAAGGTCGCTGGTTTGAGCCTCGGTTGGGTCAGTTGGCATTTCTGTGTGGAGTTTGCATGTTCTCCCGTGTTGGCATGGGTTTCCTCCGAGTGCTCTGGTTTTCTCCACAGTCCAAAGACATGCGGTCCAGGGGAATTGGGTAAGCTACATTGGCCGTAGTGTGTTTGTCTGAGTGTGTATGGATGTTTCCCAGTGATGGGTTGCAGCTGGAAGGGCATCCGCTGCGTAAAACATATGCTGGATAAGTTGGCGGTTCATTCCGCTGTGGCGACCCCTGATTAATAAAAGGACTAAGTCGAAAAAATATAATATAATATAATATAATATAATATAATATAATATAATATAATATGTTTAATAGTATCCTAGTACTGGGTTATGGCTGGAAGGGCGTCCACTGTGTAAAACATATGCTGGAATAGTTGGCGGTTCATTCTGCTGTGGCGTCCCCTGATTAATAAAGGGACTAAGCCGAAAAGAAAATGAATGAAACCACATTTTAAATATAACCTTCTTGGCTGCATTAGTTGCAGTATGAAATATCCTATGTTGGTACGTGCTTAAGTTAAGATCATAATTATCATTCAATAAACAGATATTGGGGTATTAAGGAATAAATGTATCTTAAAAGTCTGATATAATATGAAAGAACTTATCTCAACAGTATGTGTTAAGCCATGTAGATCAGTTTATAGTGTATAAGTTGATGGGCAGGATTCTTACACATCAACCTGGATACTTTCCTAAATCCAGCCTGATTTCAGTTTGTAAGGGGCCAGATCCTTTTCCCATGGTGTGAAGATAGGGAGTGCAGTGGAGAAGACGACTTTTTTTTGGAAGAAAACCTGTAACCACTGACTTCCATTGTATTTGTTTTTCTTATATGGATGTCAGCTTTTACAAGTGTTTAGCTTTCAAAATATCTTCTATTGTGTTCAACAGAAGAAAGAATCTCAGCTTTTTCTTTTTCAAATGATGATTAACAGAGCACAGAATTTTTCCACAGTATTTCCTATAACATTTGTTTTATTTCAGTCTTATTTGTTTTATTTCAGCTAGAATAAAATCAGTTTTTAATTTTTTTAAACCTTTTTTAAGGTCAATATTATTAGCCCCCTCAAGCAATATTATTTTCGATAGTCTACAGAACAAACCATCGTTATGCAATAACTTGACTAATTAACCTAACCTGCCTATAACCTAATTAACCTAGTTAAGCCTTTAAATGTCACTTTAAGCTGTGTAGAAGTGTCTTGAAAAATATCTGGTAAAATATTATTTACTGTCATCATGGCAAATATAAAATAAATGAGTTATTAAAACTGTTATGTTTAGAAATGTGTTAAAAACCTTTTTGTTGGGGACAAGATAAACAGAGGGCCTATAAATTCAGCAGGGTTACTAATTCTGACTTGAACTGTATGTTTGGTACAG